TATGATTGTTTGTTTGAATCTTCCCATCGATTTGTTAGGACTGCAACTGGTCAGTCTCTAATTGGCATATGTGCATACTGTGCGTATTGCCTCGATATAGCCTTAATTCACAAGCATGGTTAGCAGAGATGGATAGTGGCTAGCAGTGGAATCCAGGACGCGCGTTTCGTCCTATTTGGGACTCGTCAGCTGGATGTACCTGCATCTCAGAGTTGATGTTCACTCTGTGACTCGAACCCAGTACCCTCGCTTCAAACGCCATCGTGTTATCCACTCGGCCACTGAGTCCTGATAGAGTGAACATCAACTCTGAGATGCAGGTACATCCAGCTGACGAGTCCCAAATAGGACGAAACGCGCGTCCTGGATTCCACTGCTAGCCACTATCCATCTCTGCTAACCAAATACATATACTTTTTCAACTACACACAAGGAATTTGAAGTTTTTGGGGGCTGAATTTCCAACAAATCTAATCTTTAGTGTTAGACTATGTACTATGCTAATATTACCATACACTTTGATAAACTTTGTTATCAAATCGCATTGCTTCATATATGTTCGTATTGAAATAACAACATAAAAATCAAATATTCCCTATCACAAACATTACATAATTTTGTTCTTAGCTTATATTTCTCATCATTACTGTTAATACTACAGTGTATAATTTTATCTTTTAAATTACGGACTTACTGATAGAAATAAAGAAAAAATTCGTTCGAATAAGCGATTATTTTTCTTAATTCAAACCGATGTTAACCAATCACATGACTTAGGTTTAAAAACAAAACTTTCTGTATTACAGATAAGATACATTCCTTACTTTGTTGAATAACTAAAGAATGCTTTGATGTATTGAAGCACAAATTACATTTGAGAACGAGAAGGAAGTTATGTATAAAATACAATAAATGGAAAATAGAACAAAGGAGAAAAACCAAAAGGTCTAAATGGTAAATGAATACAAGGTAGAATACAAAAATAGTCTGCTTATTTCAATGAGATCGATTTAAATTTAAATTCCTAGTTGTTATTTGTTTCGGTTTGATGAAAGAAAAATTCCTGAAGAAGATTAAAGAGAACAACTGAGATAAACAGTCAACAAGATAGATAAAATCATAAAATAAACAGACTTAAAAAGGTCGGGAAAACAAACCAAATCGTCATTATTTTCTAGTTCTACAGATCTCAGGACTATTTTCAATATCTGGTTGTCTTTAGAATTTCATAAAGTCTACAATGTTGCATAAACCAAATAAATTAAAAGTCAGCCTTTCAAAAACTAAGCTCATTATGTGACACAACACAATAAATATGTTAGATGTTTGCTAATAAATGATATAATTATGTTAATTTTATTTACTATATTCGTCGTTGCTGAGTATAGCACAATTGGTTTAAATACCTTTTAAAGAATTACACTTAATTCTTTATTGAACGTAAACATTAAAAATATTAGACGAGGTCATGTAGGTTTACGTAATTTCCTATCTGAATAGTAGTTGCATAATTTGTAAACCCTACTATTTAAACTTTATTATACTAATTATTTAAAAAGAAGATGAATATAATCGAATATTAACTATTTAAACTTTGTATGCTTTGTGATTGAAGAAACAGCGATAAGATTTCACTTTAATAGATACGTTGTGTTCATTATAAAGTTTATTGAATTAAAGTACAACGTATTCATGTGATTTCGTTTGATTTTGAGCGGAATAATAAATTTCAATTGTAGTAGGTCGATTTAAAAAAAAATCCAGATTGTCATTTCTCAAACTCCAAATAGTCGTTCATATTGACAGAATTGAATTAAAAAGTCTAAAGACAAAGTCATCTCTATTGTTTCATTGTCAACAATTAATGTTCATTTTTTAAAATTGTTTAAACTCTTTATATTAACGTCGTTAGAATAATAGAAAAAGGAGATTTCCCTTGAATAAAAACAAATTTATATTGTGGAACTCATGATAGATTAAAAAGTTTTCTAAAGAAATGCTAATGATCTAATAAATAGATGATCTAGAAGGGAAGCATTCCACGGATAAAATTCATACGAGAGTGGATTTTACTACAACAAGTATTTCTCAATGTTAATCAATGATAGTGAGACAAATATAACCTTTGAACGAAACATTTATTCCCTGAGAAACACAAAATTGTCAACATTGCTGATGAATTGAATACAAGCTAGACTTGGAGTTAAAAGAGCTCCAGATAAATTATAGAGATTATACAGATTTCAAAAACACTAAAAGAAGCATTGATAACTAATTTTCGAGTAAGAAGTATCAATTATTAGAGCCATGGTAGAAAGAATGCTTGCATATTTCGCTTTAGTACATGAAGTTGCGGTTTAAAATGATTAATCACCAACGCCTCTACACCTCAAACTTTTTATAGAATGGTTTTCCATTTGAACTCAGTTGTTTCACCATGTTAGTGAATTAGAAATATCTAGTGACGCATTGTGGCCAGATTTAACAATATTTTTCAACATTGGGCCCTTAATCTTGCTAAATTCTCCTTTTGAGAACTACTCAGGGTAATTCTAACAAACGTAATTAGACAGCAATCGCTTCTTGCGACCAGTATAAGCTGTTTCATAAGCTTAAGTGAATTCACAACCAGCAGAGATTTTGCCCAAGACAGGAGCTTATTTTCAACTTATACACAAAAAATAGGGTGTCTGGAGTCGATAATACGAAGTTCATCGACGTACAACTTTTTTCCAGATTTCTTCATATGATTTTTAAAAAAACGTGACAATAGTATCTTTTATAAACTCAGTGTTCATAAAGGGTTTTTTTCAACAGCAATTAATTTTGACCTATGGTTTCTCTGCATGAATCCGTATCGGTAACCATTTTTGATTAGTACTAGCTGAATTTGGGGTAGTTCATCGTCTATCGCTTCTTCGAAGCATATTCACCTAGTAATCAAGGATAAAAAGCAAATCAAGTTTCTCTTTGTTCTTAGTGAAACGCAGCTTTGAAAATTCAAGCAATGGTCATTCCGTATTAATTTGCTTACATTTATTCACCAAAGATATACACATTTCGCTATGAATCCTTTTAACATTATCCTATCTTGAAATACAAGTTTAAAATCTTTCTAATAAATAAACAATATCATGAACGCAACGGTATATTATGTTTTGTATACCATTCTATCCAATATGAATTACTTGATAATCATCAAAATGTTCATTCATCACGTGAATAAGAAATTATTACATGGAGGTCGTATTAGGTCACAAAGCCACCACAAAATAAACATAAAAATCTATAGATCTTAATATGTCATACTAGATCTAAAAAGTGGGAAATTTTAAACTAACCATTACTATTTATTTAGTTTCGAATCAGAATGTTTACTTAATAAGAAACATTTTACATAAGTGTTTAAAGAGTTATTTGGAATAATGAAACTTTTTTTGACTTTAATCTGTGCAAAGATTCAATGTTGTGATAATCATCATTTTATTCCCGAAAACGTTTGCTTTATGTGAAATCAGTAAAATGATTTTCACTGTATAATGAAGGTTAACACCCCTAATGGATGTTTTAGGTAGTGTTGTTTTTGCTAAGCTGAATTTAAAAATATATGTCAATCGGTCACAATATTAATGGTCAACCAAATAGGTCAGTCAATGAGAATGGAAAGAAATCAGAAATATTATAGAGCTAAAAAAATAGCTAGTCACAAACGACGTCAGGAAAACGAAGTAATTTTTTCATTAACTCACTTCTACCTGAATGAGAATTAATAATGTCCAGAAGTCCTAAAACTCAAGGTACTTATCTCGGAACGGGTTGATTGTGTTCAGTGAATAAATAAATTAAAAATATTTACACCATATCCATGGTCAAGTAATTAAATAAAACAATTCAAACGTTAATTGACAAGCCGAGGATCAGTTGGTATCAACAATATACAACAGAATATGTCAACATTTTCTAAGTCAAAATTCTTGTTGTAATTTGAAGCCGATGAGCAGAACGTGAAATAAACGAGGGACTAATAAAGCCAATTGAATGATAAGATATGAAGAGAGAAAAATCTGAAAAAGTATTAGATGCAACTTAAAAATTGTAAGAATACGAATACGTAAATATTATTTTCGTATAAAGCGATTCAACGTATTAAAATATAAAAGGGATTTACTTATTACCCAGTTAACTAAATTGAACAATGAAACGACAAAGAATCAAAGAAATCATTTGAAAAAAGCTTAAAAATACAACCGCGAAGTTCATGTGAAAAATATGTTTATGAACTCTTAAAACTAGTAGACTAAATAGTAATGTGTTTCTTTTTAAATAATTCACTAATGAAGCTTTTATACCATACAATTTATTATACAGAATTTAGTTATAATACAGTCTGTACTGATCATCGACTATGATAAGTAAATGAGAAATAATAAGTTGGCCAAAGAGAGTTTATTTATGTGTCAAAGATAGTACTCCATAGTTTCGTTATGTGTTTACTAATTTGCTTGTTGACCAGATGCGAAATTTCTGAGGTGGTTGGGTTTTGATATGTCAAAGTGGTTATTCATCAGTATTACCGTTTTAAAACAAAAAGTTCAGTTATCGCCATTTGTTTTATGATGGGACACCATCAGCTACTTATCCCTATTAGATTTAAAGCATTTTACTTGAATTTAAAGTGAATATTAGCTAACTGCAGTGGTTATTCGTACTTCTAAACCATTGAACCACACTTGATGTTTTCCACTGCTCAACAGCTTGTAAATAAATAATCGGTTTTTATACATTAATTTCAAAGTCATTTATAAGACTTTTGGGTAATTTGATACTAATTACGACGTTACTGTGACGACATTTTATGTATTCCGAATTTTCCGATTATGCATATATATATATATATATATATATATATATATATATATAGAGAGAGAGAGAGAGAGAGAGAGAGAGAATAAAAGTCTAGCATGGATAAAAAACAATCAACAAATGATATTAATACTTACATTAGATTACGATGGCACTCAGCAATTTTTTTTAACATTTCATCGCTAGGTTGATTGAGCAAATGTAAACCAAATAAATATGAATGATCTTGATAAAGATCTTCCAGAAAATCACCAATTTTCGCTGTTTCAGTTTAGTTTTATATCATAAGAAAAAAGTGAAAACAATATGATATAAATTAATATTAAAATAAATTGTTGACTTGGAATGACGATATATGAGAAGTAAATTTTTTGTAAATTATAACCATTTTATTATTAGTTAACAAAGTTTGCTATAAGTATCAGCAGAATGCATATAATGAAAAATTTCTTTACGATAATTTCACTTATCAAAGTATTTGTAACTTTTGCATTTCAGTGTGTAAAATAGTTATAATAACTATTTCCGCCTTCAGACTTGAGAAATACTTGAATTCCTCAGATTTAGTCCTGATAGATTTTCTGATAGGTACTGCTGAGGAATGCCATATTATGACAAAAGAGCTAGATATGCAATGTTTCATAGTTTGAAATGGATGTTTAATTAAAATAGGTCCATAACATGAAAAAACGTAAAATATCCCAAAATGTACTCATAATAAATATCAAATCAAAAGTTGAATACCCAGCTATGTTCATTATGTAAAAATGCTATCGCCTTTTCAGAATTGTTTTAATTCACTATGGGTGTAAGAAAGGTTTATCTTTCGGATAGTGCATATCAAATATTGTAATAGGTTTGCTTATGAATGATTCTAAAAAATGAATGAAACTTTTTAATTGTGATATACTCACCAATTGTTAAAGTTGGTTCAAAGGAGCCTAAATAAACTTCTTAACAGTGACATTATTTCAAAACATACAGTTGTCTTACAGGTATTATATATATAAATCTGTTTATCTGAGTTATTATATTGATGGACAGTTATCAATTCATTATTACATATATTATTACGCCAGTAAATAAATTGAAAAAATCTAGATTCTGTTAAGTGACTAGTTTGGTATGTTTATTTTCAAAATTAAAATTAAGTCGACATTAAAACTATAATTTACTAAATTTACTTAATGTTAAATACAATAAATGCTCATGAATAGAATCTTGCTATGGATTAGCTCGTCAAATATTCTGTGTTTTACACTGATGGATACAATTTTGACCGATATTTATGTACTTACATTCAAATGATAATCATTAACGGGTGAAGAGTTATTATCCAAGGTAAATTTTCTTATTACTAACAACTATCTTTGGTCATATAGTACAATAATAGTATTCATTTAAACGTAAGACAAAAACTTATAGCAATGTAGATAAACGTTCACTTAGAGCTAATGTTTTGTGTAGCAAAGTTATTAGAGGAATACCAGTTATTCTCTTGATTGGAGCTTCAAAAAAACTGGACTTCTAGAATTGTCATGAAAACGTCTATTGCTTTATTCTACCTGTGGCGAAACTAATTGCTAATTTGATGAAAGGTTTTTTGAGTATATGCGGTCCTTCAAATATTTGCTTCAGGCCACTTCGTCAAACTACTAAAGTTCGAATAGATTCCAAGATTTTGGAACCTGCAACTTTCAAAACACTGAGCGTTCTCTGAAAACATGTTAATTAGGAAAAATGGTGTCCACGGGTACAAATACCTGGAAGACGTCTAAGAACCAGAAAACAGTGTCATTGTAAAATACTTTCAAATTCCGGGGTGACGTGCTTGAAAATCTAAGCTATCTGTTCCTGTTATCTAAATATTTAACCAATTATCTGTTGTTGTTTGTCTTAACACATAATCATTTCTATTAATCGCATAAACTATTCAAGAGTGTTTATGAAACGCTTACAACCTTTGGCTGTACAACTTACAAAAGGGTACACTCAGAGATATCGTGGTAACTAGCAAAATGCGTTGAAAAAAATGATATCTAACTGACGATCACTTCATATTTATCGTCAGGATAAATGAAGAAATAAGGAAAGAAAACTTGTTGAAATGCTTTGTGCTGAGAATTCTATATTGCACCAAAAATATAATATTGAATAAAGCCATTACTAATAATATGAATAATAATTGGTTTACTAATCATCTATGCCTAGAAAATATAAGTTTCACAAAAAGCTGCTCAAACACCTATAAATTCTCAAGTTATGTAGATTTATACGAACTCTCATTTTCAAACATATCCAAGTGTTATTGAAAACCCCTCTCTGAGCATTGTCTAGCAGAGGTGCACTTTCATCTAGATATTTGTAACGATAGTCCCAAATAGAACAAAACGCGCGTCCTAGATTCCATTGCTAACTACTCTCTATCTCTGTTTCAAATTCTCAATTATTGTTTTAACTAAAGTTAATTGTTATATACGTCTGAACTAATAATCAGTATGAAATAAATTTCGATAATAATGATCTATGTTTAGTTAATCCATAACACAGAAAAAGATAAAAGTAACTTCTTATGATAATCAAAACAATAGCTTTATATATAAACTGTATGAAAATTAGAATTAAATCAAATAGTGGCAATAACAATATGAGTTGGCATTATTGCCGACTGAAAATATATATTACAATAACCTTTTAGAGAAATTTATTCAGCATTCATCCCTATTTACTATATGTGACCTAATTCATATTATTCTACCAATTACGTAATTTCTGATTTGCAATCCCATTGTTCTATCTCACTCTATGTCAATTATATATATTCTGATCACATATCTTACGATTTTATTTCACTTATAAGCTGATTCAAGTTAACACTACATATTAGTCAACTCCAACATCAACGATTCGATTTTATTTTACATCACAAACACTTCTTGATTCAAATGTTACAGTTTCTTAAATAATGTACTCTGCCTTAAACTTGGCCAATTTTTTATGGATTATTAATTTGGATTTATAATTGTAGAACCTGATGAGAAATTAATAAAAAGAATATTCTTTGTTCATATAATTGTGTTTTATAATAAAATAATTTATCATAGTTGAAAGCATGAGTCAATTGAAGCTAGACCACCATGGAAAACCTGGAAACATAGACGGCCGTTTCGTCCTATTATGGGACTCCTCAGCAGTGCGCATCCACGAACCTGCTCTCACGAGCGAGATTCGAACCCAGGACCTACCAGTCTCGAGCCGAAGCCCTTAACCGATAGACCACTGAGCTGGCATCCAACGGTGTTTATGCTCAACTTCAACTGATCTACGAAGTTGAGCAACCATTCACCAATTGTCTTCAGTGAGTTCCTATCTCACAGCAGACGTGGTTTTGAACTCCACTGGTCACTGCTTCTCACTAGAGCTCCTAGATATACTTCTCGAAGTCACTAGTGAGCATATGATTATATTAATTATAGAAGTGGTTTTGTGGAGATTTAGTATTTATCATAGACGAAACGGCCGTCCAGTGTTTCCAGGTTTTCCATGGTGGTCTATCTTCAATTGACTCACGCTTTCAACTATGATAAATACTAAATCTCCATAAAACCTTTTCTATAATTAATAAAATAATTGTAAAGAATTATAGAGAAAACAAATCGATACAAAATTGGAAATATAAATAAACGATAATACCATACATTATACCTTCTTTGTTACTTCATATAATTACTAGAATAATTTGGATGAGCAAAATAATACTATCAATGACTAATCGCATTCACTCATCGTAATTGTTTCATCTAAATAATAATTATTAATATTTTTGACATGAAATCAATTATAAAAGAAAAGGTTGCCAACTATTTTTTAAAAAAAAGAAGTGAAGTACCCAATGAATAGGGGATTTATGCAAATTACAAAGCTTTCATTCTATAAACACTTATAAAATGAATAATTAAATCATATGTTGTGATGAATATACAATAGCCTAATAAACATTTTACTGACCATCTAATAGAAAGAAAAAAAAGTAATCTATTGAAATATGAAAGAAAATCAAAGTTTTATACGATGAGTAAGCAGGTCAACTTGTAATTAGTTTATAAATGGGACAACAATATCTCCCTATTATGCTGAATCATATTTTTTGTTAATTTTATCAAACTTTACATTAAAGAAATGAGATAGAAAGATAGAAGTTAATTTTTAAAAATTAGTATTACGTAGAATCCTAAAAAACAGATTTTTCTAAAAATCACTTTTACATAAAACCATGAAGTCATTTAATCACTAAAAAAGAAACCCGAAAAGGAATCAAAATTTGTATCATTATGCATCAAGATTTCATCAAGTATAAATAAATAATAAAAAAAACTATTTGCATTATGGAATGACATTATTTCAAGAAATGTTGAAAACTGAAAAAAAACTGCTCATCCCAAATCCTGAAAAAGGTTTCAATTTGATCTCATGTAACATCACAAGCACGTACTGATGCAACTATTCAAACTTAAACAAAACACAAGGAAGGTTTTGTGGAGATTTTAATAATTTTATATAGTTGAGATCATAAGTCAATTGAAGCTGGACCACCATGGAAAACCTGGAAGCACTGGACGGCCGTTTCGTCCTATTGTGGGACTCCTCAGCAGTGCGCAGGTTTCTAATATTTTATTGATTTCACTACTTGTCTACAGAAAAATCTGCCTCATATAATAACAAGTTTAAGAATTTATAAATAAATTTGTTAGGAGAATAATAATTTTGACATCATAAGTGAACTGAAAAAATTTAATTTATTCATTTTCATGCTAATATATCATTATCAGATGTATCTTGAAGATAAATGGATTTATTTTTGAAATTATTAAATTAACTGACACAAAACTTGAATCATTTTGTATTTGATTCATATTTAAGATATAAGTAATATATAACTACAACCTTACAATAAGGTCATCAGCACTTCCAGGTCATGTTCAATTATGTATGAAAAGATATCCACCCATCAAATCAATTTAAACAAAGTAAAGCAGGAAATGTAAATGTTGTTTTCCTAAAAAACACAACAGCAATATCTTTATTCATCATATGTAAAAATTATTTGTTGTTAATTATCAAGAGAAAACAAAAGAAAAGATGTAGAATAAAAACGAACAAAAAAATCCAGTGCCTGTAGAAGAAGAAATTGTTTTATAAAAAGCGATTAATGCTTCATTAATCATACTTTATTTGGACTGAGAAATGTTGGCGCTTCGATT